GTTCCGATAAAATTTTTTTGAAAAAAGTTTTTTCGAAAAATTTTTTGAAAAAATTTTTTAAACAAATTTTTATCAAAAAATTTTTTGGCCAAAAAATTCCAAAATTTCTAAATTTTGCTCGATTTTTATTAATATTTCTCAAAAAATGCCAAAATATGCACAAATTTAGGTAAAAATATGCAAAATTTCCCAAAATATGCATCAATATGCAAATATGCATGAAAGTACCGAAATATGCAAAAATATGCATTAAGAACCCGGTCCCTAATGTTCGTACCAACGTAAAAACAGCATTTTTGAGCGTTTTAGCCCATGGCATATCGGCATGCAAAATATGCATTTGCATGTTTTGCCACTCCCTAATTATAAAACACTAAAAAATTTTTTTTGTCATTTTGTTCATAAATATATCATATCTTTATTTAAAATTGCCGACTATTTCATTATATACTGTGATTATTATTTTTATGTATCTTCTCAAATATTATATTTTTAACCAGATAAAAACGAACACATAGAAATTATTTAAAATTTATTTTACATTAATATTTTAAATAAATACAAAACAGAGGTGAAAGTTTAAAAAAAGATATTTGGGGTAATGGTTTTAGCCTTAAAAAGTTCGGGGTTCAGAGTGGGTGCTATAAAATGCTATTCTCTAGAATAGCTTCCTAACCTAGATAAAAAAATAAACATAAGTCAAAGGAAATAGGAAATCCTTTATTCTCTCATAAAATAGAAGAATTAAACACAAAAGCATAGAAAAATAGAATTTTAGACTTCTTTAAAGCTTGACGTTCTTAATCCCCCCCCCCCCTGAAATTTTTTTGTTACTACTACAAATCTATTTGTATCACTCCATTAGTCTAATGATATCTGGGTTTTATTCAGGGATCAGTGATTAAGTGAAAATTTATTTTTTGAAATGTAAGTTTATTTGTCAAATAACTATTATTCTTTAAGAAATATAGTTTTTTAAACTCATCTTTATGTTAAGTTAAAAAACATTAAAATTGTATGTGGTCTTATAGTGCTTGACATATGGTAACGAATTTTCTCAAATAATTATCCTCTCTCAAATATACCGTATTATCTCTAATAGAATGGCCGGCCATTCTATTTTTCAATCACCCTCTAGGGGGCCATTCTATTAGAAGGGGCCATTCAAATGGAGACGGCCATTCTATTTTTCAATGAGTAAATTTTAAAGTTTAAAAAAATTTTTTATCACAAAAAAAGTTTAAAATTTGATAAAAAATGGAAGAAATCAGACTTAACGACTTCAGAAATTCTCAAAATTTTCGCCTGCGGCGCTGAAATATGAAAAAATCTAGTGACTTGGGCTTCAAAAATACGCTAAAAAGGAAGAAAGCTGGCTTCTTAGCCTTCCATAAGCTTCTTAGCCTTTCATAAGCTGGTTCTTAGCCTTCCTCCTTACATTAGCCTTTCATTGGCTTCTTTCAAAATTCGAAAAGCTTTGCATGTGGTGCATGGATTTCGGTTATTAAGAGGGATTTGGAGGAAAATAGAATTGTCAGGGAGTTATGGATTAAGAGGTATATAGTGGATTGGGATTAAAAGTATATTAAGGGATTAGGGGAATTACACACATATATCCATTCAAATCTAGTTGGGCCATCTAAATCCGCTATTTTGACCTTAATCCATTGTTCTTCAAATGACCCTTTATCACTCCAAATATTTACCGATATCCCCCTAAATCCATCTATAAGCATTAAAATGCTCTCAATCTCAAATTTTTGAGAACGGGATTCCGGGATTTACGGGATTAATCCCGCGGGATCCCGTCCCGTACAAAATTTTGAAAAAAATCCCGTTCCGGGATCCCGGGAATGCGATTTTGCCGGACTCTAGTATAAATAATAATAAAAAAAAGGGGGGGCCATTCTATTAGAAGGGCCATTCAAATGGAGACGGCCATTCTATTTTTCAATCACCCTCTAGGGGGCCATTCTATTAGAAGGGGCCATTCAAATGGAGACGGCCATTCTATTAGAGATAATACGGTATGTATAATTGCCTGACGTAATTAATTAACACTCTAGCGAGAGGCTGAAACAATAATTATCCGGTATAATTTGAGCATATACGTTTTGTAAACTTAAATAAATTACAAGAGATTTAATTTTCTCTATTATCTCAGATCTATTACTCTGATTTTTTTATCTTAGAAACTTTTGTTGGATATTTAACTTTTTTATACATATTTAAATTAAATAATAATTTTACAATACGCAAAAACACGTGAATTTTATTTTCATTTCAACATCATTGATTAATTTTTATTTATCTTGTGAGGGGAGTAGGATAAATAAATAATTTCCCTCACTTAAAATTGATTTTAAAATTTTATTTATGTTTATGACAGGCTTTCACAATCTATTATTATTTATAGCTTTTAATTAACGTAATACAAGTTGTTAAGTTGTTCTCTAGTTAAAATTTTTTGTTGAGTTGCTTCTTATAACATTGTAATTTATAAAGTGTAATAATCAAGTATCGCTTTGCGTACTTGATTATTACATCAGATACTAGTAAAATATACTTGAATTGCATACAGTGTTTTATCAAGACATTAATATGTATAATTGAATAAGTGAGATTATGCGCTTTGGTAGAACGACTGACAGAATAAGACAAATACTCAAAGGCTACACTAGCTAACTCCAATAACAATAACTAGAAATGCTTTGATGAATGTTCTGTCAATCTTTTGATATTGTATATGTTTTGATATTATTTAAAAAGTGATGTTTTTGAAGGTCTTGAACAAAGGAAAATGTTTGAAGTTTTTGTTTGTAATTTTGAATGTTTGCAAAAATTGACCGCTTGAATAATTAAGTTCTTTAACTATGGTAACGCTAGCTATAAACAACATATTCCTCTTTTTTAATAACATATTCAAATAATAATGACGATGTATATAATTTATTAGTAGGGCTCGGATTTATATTGAAATAAAATCGCAAAATATGGCCATAAAATAATGAAATAACTGCAAAATTGGCAAAATATTGAAATATATTGAAATGTAACTTCGTTCAAAATCATAATATTGAAAAACTAATGGCATATTTGAGCTTCTCTCGCCATAATATATTGAAGAAAAAAAATATATTTCAATACAAATCCGAGCCCTATTTATTAGCTGAACAAATATTGTTTTACATTTTATTTCAGCTACCCATTCATTTGATTTATATATGAAAACCTTTATTTATTTATTATTTGTTAATTTATTACTAATTATTTTTGTTATTATTCCTATAAAATGCGCATCACAAAAGAATGATAACCCAGATGAATTTAAGAAAATTTCAGATACTGGCGCTTCATCAAGCTCTTTAACGAGCTCTTTAAATCCAACCGGTATTTTTTCTCAATAATTCTTTTTCTGGTTTCATTTTATGATTTTAAAGAATGCTAAAGTATCTTTTGCAATGTTTAAAAATATTTAAAGAATTGTTATAGTAATAATGGCCCCCAAATTCCTAACTCAGTCAACCTGAGCAGAAAATCTCCTTTTTCTGGTATTTTTGGTCTATTACCAAAAATCATTGTCAAATCTAACAATGATAGAAATTTGGAAGTGAAATAATTTATCAAGGGATAGAATATCGAAGGCTTCTGTCTTTTTTAATTTTTTCAACTGTTACAAGAATTAATATACTACTATTTTATAGCAAATGAATTCAACCCAAGAGAAGATATAGTTCGCTACCATCGTATGTAATATGTGTTAAGGTTGTCGGATCCGGATATCCAGATCCGAAAAACACGGGATATCCGGAAATTTTCGGTTCGGATACAAAATACGGATATCCGAAAATTTCCAACTAACCGACAACCTTAATATTCACCAGTTTTTTTATTAGTAATATTTTTAAAATATTGATGCAAATATGAAAGCAAAAATATTATTGCAGATTCTTCATTTGATGAGTTAGCTTTCAAACAATTCTTATCTATTGGATGGCTTAATCCAACAATTTTGCAAACTCCAAATCTATGGAATTTTCCGAGTTATAGTGAATTTTATTGGAATCAGCCTGAAAAACAATTTATTACGGAGTTCGATCCTGAAGGGATTCTTAGCAAAATATCACAACATTTTGATGAATTTGGGTGGCCTGAAGAGGAGAGAGTATTAATTGAAGATAAAGTCAGTAATATAGAATAATAAAATAAATATAGAAATAATTATTTTTAAGCATTTGATAGGCATCAATTTGTTATCAGAAAAAGCAAATTGGATTTTAGAAATTGGATCACATAGTGGAGATTCAATAACAGAAGATATAGTAACAAAAAAGTATCAAAAGTTCGGACATTGTAATAATAAAAATGTTTTAAAGACACTTGAACTGCTTGATAGATATGCGAGGTTTATTTAATAAAACTAACGAATCTTGATATAGTAAACTTTCAAATTAACTGACTTTTCGATATGATAGAGATAGATCGTTGGTTCCTTCCTAAGATTTATTTTTCAATTATTTTGAAATTTTAAGTTGTGTAGCTAAATGGAATAAGAGGAATGTCATAACAATAACAGGGCCAATATCAGTACTTGTTTCAGAAAAAACTGAAAGGAAGGAAAGTGTTAAGAGTTATCCGGTATGGATTTGTTAAATTTTTAAAATAATAAAAGTAGAAAATATTATAATTCTATGAATTTCTGAGTTCAAAAAAGTTTAGGACTTCAATGTATACCCTTGGCCCAATTTGTAAGACACTACGGAATTTATATATTGAGTCATTTTGGCCAAATAAAATTGTCGTTAGTGAGACTAACGTTCAATTGGTAAGTCGTAGATCTAAGTTCCAAATGTACTATTTGTTTATTCTACATTTATGTTAACTTATTATTTAAGTTCAACAATGAAGTAAAGCATCCTCCAATAACTCAATTTTTCAAAGTTATTATTATTGAATATGAACGTAGAAATTATTGTGCCGACATAATTTTTACTGAAGCTAATTGCAATGAAGATACTAAATCTGATGATATTTCAGGAGAAAATTGTGGAAAAGATTGTTTAGATAATTGGGACTTCAAAAATTATATTAAAGATCATAAAACTATGGGAGAATTATTCAAAAATAAATTGGAATTTTTAGAATGGTATATTGGCTTTGAGTTGATTGATTTGTCGCATAATTCTGGATTTGATAAAATAAAGAAATTAGGTACGTGGATCTTGAATATTGAGGGAAATGATCGGTTACAGCTCGCGTTTCAATATATTTTCGGACTGGGGTTCGGGTAATAAACGAAGCATTGTAAATTACCGTTTCTAAAAATAAATTTCAGATACATGCGATAATAAAAAATTATTTGAAGCAACGACTCCAAATTTGAAAGAATCCTTGAAGTCAACCTTCAAAAATAAATTTATTAAATATAAAAATGAATTTTCATTTTCTAAAAAATTCAAAAATATAAATTTGAGTGATATAAGTGTGGAAAATAATGAAAAATATAAAAAGTCGAATATTCGAATATATCAAGTTTGTTAAATTTATAATTCAAAATTTATATTTTATTTTCAAGGATTTTATAATAAATTTTAATAGAAGGAAGAGAATACCAAATTGGGTTTTGGAATATTTAACGAAGGAACATATGAATAAGTTAACAGCACAAAAATTTTGGTGGTCAGCTGATCCAAACTTTTCAAAAATATTCCAGCCGGAATATAATGATTATGAGTGCCATCCGGTTTAATCAAATCTTTTTCCCCTAAATTTTGTAAATTAAGAACTCTATATATAACCATGGCCATCTAGCAACGGGAAATTTACATCCGCACGAGCAAGGCTTTTACCTTACAAATTCAGTGCCACAATACAATTTAGTTAACAGTGGACATTGGAGAGTTATTGAAGAATACATTAGGTAAATAAATAACAACAATAAACATATTTTCTCTAATTGAATGCCCTCTCCAGCTGATGACCATATCTAATAGAATGCCCCTCTAGAGAATGATTTAAAAATAGATACCGCCGAGATTTATGAGTTTACTTTAAAACTTACATAATATGTAGATATCGAGGATATAAGAAGATTTAGAAAGATATCGATGGTTTATGGGTGATATCCGTGGATTTAGAGGGATTAAAATTTTAAGCGTTATAAGATTGTATTGCTATATAGGAGTGATATATTAATAAGATAAGTTTTGTTAATTTAAAGTTATTGTAGATCTTAATAATTGAATATGAATATTTTTCGTATCTTCGAATCCAAATTATCTGAATAAATACTATGTATATAGAATTAAGAGGATTTATGATGATAGCTTGGTTTTAGAGTTAACCGTTATTTGACGTGAATAAGTTGGAACTTGTTAAATCTTGTTAAAAAAAATAATGCACGGCATTCCGTTAGAGGAAATACGATATTTAAATTATGTATTTTCTCGATTAATTACCCCTCTCCCTCCCGATTGATTATCGGCTTTAAGTAAATACATAACAACTAAATATCCAGAGTAATTATTCGAGATGATATGATATAAATATATAATTATATTTTAAGTTGTATGGCAAAAGAAGCAGAAGAAACATATATTTATTCAGGACCATTATTTTTGCCAAATCAAGAGAAAAATTTAATGGAATTTCAAGTAATTTATTGAAATAATTGTCGATAATTAGTTAATTCTGATCGGTCTGCAAGAAAAATAATCCTTTTTACTTGAGCCTGAGTTTATTTCTTATAAATTCCTTCAAATTATAGGTTCTTGTTCATTTCAGAGGCACAAGAAATAAACTAAAAATTTGGCTATGATCCGAAAATTATCTCGAGTCGAGTCTTGTTAATTTTGTTCCTGAGTCTTGGTTCCTATCTTGGTCTCGAGTATTGGAAAATTTTGGACTTGGACAACTCTAGCTGGTAGAATAGTTTACCCGAGTCTCACTAAACAACGCTATTAAATTGGGCTTCCCGAAGTCCTGGATATATCGCAAAATCGTAACCAAGCAAAAAAAAACGATTGCTTTTGCAAGTAAAAAGAGCGCAATGAATACTCACTGCTTAGCTCTTATACCTAATCTCAGATCCCGACATAATTGAAAAATAATTAATTTATTTGTAATTTTAGGTCATCGGTCCAAAAGAAATTTATGTACCTACACATTTATTCAAAATTGTTATTCTCAAAATATTTGATAATTCTAAATGGAAGTATTGGTTGGAGTCTTATGTAATGACGAATACAGATTTAAATGAGTTATTTGACGTAAAAAATGGTATGCTTTTAGATAGAGATCTTTTTGTTCTGTTTTGGAGTCAAGGTCTGCGCTTGATAACAACCAAACGTTGTTTTAAACTTAGTCAAAATGTGGGCACTTCGAAAATTCTTAATTATATTTCATCCTTTTGTTCTATATCATTTAAGCACTATTTATCTTCAATTTTAACAAGGTTATGTCATAAACCTTGTTAAAATATAATATACGCCTCCTAATATAATAATATACGTCTCCTAATATAATAATAAACCTTCTAATATAATATACGCGCGGCCACAACGACGCATTCGACGAAATTTGGGCCGTTGACCTAATATTCTTATATACATATTATATTGATTTTCAGAAGAAACAAGTCGATTCATTCCTGATGGATCGCCAAAAATTGTTAATAATTGCCGAAATATGCCATATTTCCTTGAACATGTGGAGGCGATAAAAAAATACACAGGGAATAATTTTCCAAGACATATAGTTAATTTACTAAAATATTATAGAAAGCCATATAAATTTATTGAAAAAAATAGTAACTTTCGATTGTTAACTTTGTTAAGTGAGAAAATAAAAGGAATTAAGGATGGTGTTCTTTTTGATATGGAAACTGAAAGAGTTGAGGATAAGGGAGATGGCGAAGAAAAGATAAATCGGGGAAATGTTAAAGAAGGGATAAGTATAAATAAAACTAGCGATTTGACAGAATCGAAGATTGATAGTTTACCCAATAATATTGTTGAAATAAGTAAAAATAAAGTAGAAAAGGGAAAGGGAAAAGCAAAAAGAAAAGCGAAAGGAAAAGAAAAAGTTATTTTTTGAATATAATTTTGTTATTTTATTAATTATTTTAGATTGAAGTTGATCAGCAATTATTTCATGAGCACAAAAAAGATCCTAGTATAGAGTTGGTTCAAGAGAACTTGGAAATTGGCAAAAATTCTGAGACTGCTCAATTAAATAAAATTAATGAATCGAATATTCTAAGTTTACCTAAGGAAGAGGAATGGCAGGAAATTAAAAGTAAAAAGAATAAAAAAGGAAAAAACCAAAATAATAAAGTAATTTCTGAGGAAAAAATAGAGGAGTTAATAAGAAGTTCGAAAGATTCCGTTGTAACAAATTATTCCACTTCAGTAGATGATAATGAACTGAGAAATATAATTAATCCAGAATTTGAAAGAACAAAATCAGCGTCAGATGATGAAAGAGTTTGAATATTTTTTAATTATACTAACTAGAGTTGTAAAAGATTTGACCGATACCGAGACCGATTTGAGATTCTCGGCTTTTTTCCAATATCGGTCTCGGTTTTCCAATATCCAAAGTCGATCTCGAGTTGGCCGATACCAGTATCGTTTTTTCCAACTTTAATACTAACTGAGAAATAAGTGTTTCTCATTTTATCCTTAATTTACGAGAAATAAACATATAATTTTCGATTTAAGAAACTCTCAAGTAATCATTTCAAGTAATCACCTGCATGTCTAGTACCGGCAGAATTAGTAGATTGTAAATTTGATCGGCCAGCACAAACCAACTAGCAATTTATTAAGGGGTCTTGCGTAACAGTGGATGGGTGGTCCATAAATTGTAGAGTACCAGACGGGTGTTAAACTAAAATGTTAATTTGACTATAACATGCAATTTATGAGACTTACATAGTCTCCACTCTAATATATATTTGATCCCGGATCTTCACGAGATATCGTTAAAAAATCTCCGTTTAATCTGAATTTTTATTTAATAGGAAAAAGAAACAATAACAAAATTAAATAAGAACAAAACTAAACAAAAAACTAAAAATAAAGGAAATCAAAAGGCTAAAGTAAAAAACACCGATCTAGAATTTCTAAATAAAGAGATTAAACAGAAAAATAAACAGATAAATATAGAAAACGAAAAAAAGAAGAAAGCGGATAAAGAAGCTAAAGAACTTTTGAAGATGGAAGCAAGAATAAAAGAAGAAAATAAACAAAAACAAAGGAAGGAGCAACAGAGAAAATTGAAAGAACTAAAGAAAGAATCTGAAAATTATAACGAAGCTTATTCTGAAGAAGCTCAACTAGAAGAATTTAATTCAGAATATTTTAATAAACGAACAGATAAAGAAATTTTCTTTGAATATATCGAGATGATTTTGTGGGAAATAAAAGAATTTTACGATGAGCCTTCTCTAGAAAATTATGTTGATATAGATAAAAGTATAATAGAATTTCTTGGTAATGTATACAAATATAGATATTTTGATAGACATGGAGAACAATTTAAATTAACCCTTAAATGGCGTTTTGATAAAAATAAATTTAATGAAATTAGACTGCCTTTTAGTTCAATAATTACGGAAAAACGGGCAATAAAATTAAAATTCAATAAAATATTTGATGAATTTGTTAATAAAGTTTTATATTTTTATAAAGCTACATTTAAACTTTTGATCGAGCTTGTTAAAAATAATTTTGAAAAAGCTTTGGCAATTGTTTTAGACAAACATCATGACCCAGAAAAAATTATTTCTGTTGATGAGATATTAGGTTTGCCTTTAATAATTAATATATAATAGTGTGGTTTCATTCTTCGGTTTCATGGTTCTTTAAAGAAGATTCCAAATTTCTTCTTGAATATCCACTACGTTGAAGGGGATAATAAATAGGTTGTTTTTATTTGAGTAGATACCGTAGTTGATTAAAACTAATGATAACGATTTTAAATTGAAAATATATTCAAATCCCTCATAGGCGCGAATGAGAATCCATATTGTAAGGAGGAAATTTATCCCGGAGGGATAAACATAGAGAGGCAAATTTTTTTTCCACAATGGAATGGCACACGCCAGCACGTTCCACAAGAGCCGTGCTTTATTGTTATATTTAACATTTCTGCTCCCATTTATTTTATATTCTCAAATAATTCTCTGAAAATTGTTTAGAACTCATGGTATACGGAGTAATTAACCAAGAGAAGCATTATTTAATGAGGATATTTATTCGGGCATAGGTTGTAACTACTTATAAATTTATTTTATTTATTTATTTTTAGATAAATTAAATAATATAAGTAATAACAATATTTCTGATCGACACATTATAATCAAAGAATTATTTATTCAAGAAACAAATATTGACGATACTGATACAAAAAATTTATTATCTACAAACGCAAAAATATTATATTATTTACCTTTACTCAAAGATATAAATGAAATGTATTTAACACATGGCAAAGGATTATTAATTTATTATATTGTTGAAATTATTTGTTTAAAAAATCAGTTTGTTAATTTCATTTTTAAGTTGAATTATTTTACAATATTAAATCAGATTATCTAAATAACAATCACTGCAATCTAGAAAAGCTCTAAGTGTCCTAACAGCCGTATTGATATAACAAAAATGAAAACCGCTAGGGGGGGGGGGGGTGAATTTATAAATTTAGATTAACTCATTCTAACTTTTGTTTTTTTGACTATTTTCTGCAATTACTTCGGCTTTTTTTCAATAGCGATTGTTATAAAATAAATTATTGATATCAAATTTCTATTCCAATATGCCTTGAATCTCATAAGATTCAACTATGATAATATACCGCAAACGCTAAGTATCGTACAACTTCGTTCAGAATTGTTAAATCTGGGACGCCTTAGCATGTTTCGATGCAACTCGACGCTCTGAATCAAACCATAACGCGCGTCCTGGATTCGGTAATTTTGAACAAACTTATAGCTTGCGGTACCATGGCCTGTTCCTTATAGGAACTTCTACGTGAATATATTCTTTAGAATGTAATTTAAGTAGCGATATATATTTGTAAACTTTTTATACAAAATACTTATAAATTAACTTAAACTTAAAAGTACTCTAAATTAAATAAACGTTTTTTAATCGAAGCCCTGATTTAATTTTATTTTTAAATTTAGTTTGAATATTTTACTAGAAAGTGAACATGCAATATTTGATTCGAGTATAAATATAAAACATGACAATTTAGAAAAACTAAATAAAGTTTTGACGCTTCCATTTTATAATGAACTAGCAGAAAATGAAAAAATTCTGGCTAATTTAAAACCCAAAAGGGGTGCAATAAATAAATTAATATCAGGGCAAAAAAATCTAAATAAAATTCAAAAGGATATTGAAAAGATGACTGAGAGATTTAAACTTGTATTTGGAGATTGTGCACGTTTTGTGCATGCAGCAAATCAGAAATGTGAACTAATTAAAGAAATTTTAAATGAATACTTTGGTTCTAGTAGTATAAATTTAGAAAATAATGGAAACAAAGATAAAATAAATGATGCAGAAATTAATGTGGATGATCGACAAGGTTATTTCATTAGATGCATCTTACCTAAGGTTTTTGGTACTTAACCAAAAGGACTTCACCGAAATCCAAGGGAAAATTCCGATAATAAATTTTCGTTTCTTTGGATTTGGATATCTATATCCGGTAATAATTTTTGATTAGCAGCTGTTTAACCTAATTTTACATAAAAATATTTTTAATTACATTAATTAGAATATCTAAAAGTAAAGATATAAAATAGCAAGAGTGATAAGATAGCAAGAGATAAATAGTAAAAGGCACTAGATAAATAGTAAATAGTTGTCATGTAACTGAGTTTAGGGTAAGAAGATTGAACATGAAGATGGACATGTGACGTTGAGTCTTTTGTTCCTTGAGATTCCTTTTAAATAAGGCTGCAATCTTGTTCGGATAGAAACGTCAAACTACTCAAAACATTGTCTGATTGGACCTAAATTTTACAAATTATAATCTTAACCTAAAATTAATTTTTTATGTGTAATAATTAAATTTAGTTAGAAACATAATTGAAGAAGACAACATTCCATCAGGAATACCATTAACTAATAAAGATAAAATACCTCAAATTGAAAATAAAAACATAACTGATGAATCTGAAAGTAATAAAGATAAACAGATAAGGGTTGATGATAACATTCCATTAGGAGTACCATTATCAATTAAAGATGAATCAGTACAAAATGCAGATGATAAAAATATAACTAATGCCTCCGAAGGGAATTGAATTTAAAAATTTAAATTTTATATTTTCATTTATATTTCAAAAACGTGCTAAACCGACAAAACTTATTGCTCAACCTAATATTTTGCTGTACTTGCTCCAAATATTTACCTTTTGATTCGCCCCAGTTAGCCGAGTCGAATATTACAACTTCCCGATATCGCAAATAGCTGTGGGCCGTGATTTACCCTGAAAATCGAAAAACCATGGGGGGGGGGGGGGGGGGATACAGTACAACGCTGATTTTTGGCACCAAAAATTCGAATATGAAAAGCTCGCTCAGTTAGAGCTCGTCGAGCCGACTCAGAGACACCGAAATCATCGCATCTAAATAATTGGACTCGTATTGAGGACTTGTACATTTCGTAATTTCGCCTTGCTCCCGGTTTGTGTTTTGGTCTAATATCGGTTTTATTTGGGGGAGATTTTTTTAATTATTAATTTTCAAAAAGTTTTGGTTTTTTTAATTTCGTAAAAATTGTTCAAAATTTTCGGTTTTCAAAATTTTTGGTTATAAAACAAGTCTGACCAACTCTATAAAGACAGAAATTTATGCCTCGAAATTTCGCCTCGAAATTTATGCCTCGAAGGAATTTATGCCTCGAAAATTCAAAATTTTATTTTTTTCTTTTTTAAAATTTTGTTTTTTCCCATAGATATTATTTTAAAATTAATAATTAACTAAAATAAACCACAAAAATACAAAAAACTCAATTCATCTTTTATTTTTTAAAATAAATAAACAACATTATAAACTAGCATAAAAACTAATCATAAACACCAAGCTTTGTCCAAACTTGATTTCTTCCAAAAATTTGTTTTCCCAAAGGGACGGAAGAAACTTAAAGGAAGTGGAGTAAAAATAAGAAAAAGCTCATTCCGGTTCCCATGCCGCCCAGAATTTCCTCCCTTCTTTCCCCTTCCCTCTCCCACGCACTCCCCCGCGGCTGACAAAACTGCACTTGATGGAAAGTGTCCTTTTAAAAGAAAAAAACTAAAAATCCAAAACATAAAGAGATGAAGATTTGAAAAGAATAAGGCAAAAATGAGCTAAAAATTCAAGTATTCAAACTTTGCAAATTAATCCAAAAAATTTTTGGCTTAATTTTTTTAAATAACTTTGTTGAATATTAATTTATAAATTTATTTTTCCATTTATTTTTAATTTTTAAA